TTTCTAGTATTTAGCTTTGATACGTATACAATAGTTCAACCAAAATCCGCAGTATGTGCATGATATACAATATTGATATATTTGGTAATCATATTCGAATTTGATACTGTGACAATGGCACTATCTAATGTAAACGTATCTAAGAATGTTTATTTTTAAATAACGCGGTCGTATATTTTTATTAACTTGTGATCTGTATTTGGTCATTAATTACTGTAATTACGTGATACATGAATTCTTGCCTGAAACAAGTTTGCTATCGAATAAGAACAGTCACTTTAAGCGCCTAAAAATTTCGTACCACCTTTAAATTACTTTGTTACCCTAGATCGGAAGATGCAAGAAACGCTTAAAACAGCATGTATATATAATGCATATAATCGTATTCATTCATTCGGAAAATAGAAGCTAAGTGACATGCACTTGACAAATAAATTGATTCGATTCGTCAAGCTATTTGTAATAAAGCTTTTACCCATGTTCTCATCAACCCATCATTGTACGTTTTACCGTTTTTTAGACAAAGGACATAACAACGAAATGTTAAAACAACCAAAAAGTTGAAACATGTTCATTATTTATTGAATATAAATACCTACTTTCTCTTTGAAAAATTTCCACACATCTTCTTTACCTCACTGTGAATAAATGCATCATTAAGCATCATTAGTTTTCATCGTTCTTTCCCTCTCCCTTTTTTTTTTTCTTTTTTTTTTTTTTTTTTTTAATTAAACATGAGAATTTTCTTAATAATTATTCCAATCCTCTTGTTGCTGGCGACTCAAGGAGGACAATCTGCGTTGCTTTCAAAACTTTCGCCAACATCCACAAAATTAATTAACCTCAAAACCAATGTTAAATCACCCGAACCTACTAACCTCGAAATTAATGGCACTGATTTGGTAGATGGATGTGCGAATATTCACAATAAATTTAAAGCAGCAAACACAGCCAGGCAAGATCTTTCTTTCTCTATCTCGGATGTTAGATCTTGTTATAATTCATTTAAATTTGATAATAACATAAGAACCGGCACGATTGATACTATTAAGAAAATTCTCAATGGATTTTATGTGTTTATCGATCAAGCTAAGCAACCACCTGAATCCGGTTTCACTTTTGATCCAGTTGACATCTCAAAAGAACTTGATTCAATAGCTCAAAATAAGTATAATAATGACTTTGAATTTACAGTATGTATATAAATAAAAAATACTATATATCGATATATATATTTTTATATAATTTTAATCGATTATTAAATTAAAGATTTGTTAAAATTGTTTTTTTAGACTGATGTGATCAACTTGATAATCAAGATGAAAGATGCGCATACTTTCTACTTCCCAATTTGTTATACAAGGTTTACTTTTACTCAACAATTGGCCTTATATTCTACAGTTACAGCTGATGGTTCACAGCAGATCAAAGTCTTTAAGGATACTTTGGATTCAAGTAATAAAGATTGTGTGGTTGATGAAATCGATGGTAACCCAGCGTTGGATGTTATCAAGCAATATGCTCGCGACACCGTATTTATCTCTAAAGATCTTGGTGTTCGATTCAATATGGCATTAGCTTCATTGGCATTGGTTAATGGAAACATTCAACTTCATCCGAGATCCTCTCAATTCAATATTCGGTTAGTCTTACCAGATACAGATTCTATCACTTACACTTTAAATTGTGGTTCAGGAACTAAAACTGTTGTAAGAGAATGGGTGGCTTTTATAAACAACGGAAATGATCTTAATAGTTTTTCAGATTCTTCTTCTTACTGGTCAAACTTCTGTGTCAATCCTTCCGCACCCACACCTTCTCAGTCTCTTACATCTTCTCAGACTCCTACATCTACCCAATCATCTACATCTACCCAATCTCTTGCATCTACCAAACATCCTACATCTACTCAATCTCTTACAACTACCCAACCTTCTAAACCTCCTAATTCTACCCAACCTACCCAACCTACCCAACCTACTAAACGTTCTAAACCTAAATCTTCCCGACATCCTAAATCTTTTCCGAATTCACTTTTAAAATTTAGAATACCAAAACGTAAACGATATGATTATATGAATCGTCGTAAAAAACATCGAAATGCTTTTGACCCTGTGCAAATGAATGATGCTAATTTATTCAAAGAAGATGTCGTGTTCAGTGATGCCACATTAGTTTCTAATGCAGATTTGGCTCAATTTTACAAATTGAATAGTAAAAGTAATATTGGTATTGCTATGATTTCGTCAGAAGCTGCTACTACAACTGATAATGATGCCTTTACTAGTATTGCAAACGGTTTCAAAGCATTGGCAAATGCTGGTGTTACTAAACTCATTCTTGATTTGTCAAATAACGAAGGTGGTTTAACCGTTATTTCTCACTTTATCAATAAAATATTATTCCCAGGCACAAATCCTGCTTTCCCAACTGATTGGAGCCTTACTAACATTAAAAAGGCTGCAATTGAAGCCGTTGACGCTAAAAATCCTCCATTCTCTGTATTCAACCGAAATCTTTATCTATCTTTCCCTGATTCATTACCTTTTAACTCTATTGATGAATTTCTTAAAGCAAAGTCATTTCTTGAAAATGACAAAGATGAAATAAATGGATTTATTAGCCAAAATCCAATTTCTTTACCTTGGAATGCAAGTGACATGGTTATTCTTACAAATGGATATTGTGGATCAGCTGGTTCAGCAATTGCTCTACATCTTGCAGAATTAAATAATGTTACAACTGTATCAATTGGTGGATTCCCAAAAACTTCATTATCAATAAGTTCTTTTCCTGGTGGTGAAGAATTCGTATTTACCGATCCTAATAACGGTTTCGAAGATCTTGTACAAGAACTTAATAGATTAGGTTTATCTAATAATGATCAAGCACCACAACAATTTCCAACCAATATTTTCTTTCCATTTACGATAAGAAGAGCTTTCAGTGTCAAGAATCCTGATCAAATTCTTGAATATTCTTTTAGACCTGCACAAAATCAAATTAATTATAATGATCAAAGTGTTAGAGACCTTAGTATTGTTTGGAATCAAGCTGCAAATTTCCTCCCTGCATAATTTTAAAAAAATCAAACTTCATTAAAATGTGTACATTTCATTCTTTTTTCATCATTTGTAACTTTGGCATTTTTAATTTTATATTTTTTTTTTTTTAATTTGCATTATATATACAAATCATTACATTTTCATTTCATTTGTAATTTATTTTATATTTTTTTTTCGTAGACTATTCTTTGCATTTAATTCATCAATAGAAATTTTCGAGTCCAGTAATATATTCTGCTAATTTAGACTTAAAGACGAACTTAACTTAGACTTAAAGATTTTTTTTTTTTAATATGTACACTTTAATTATTGTTTTGTTTGTGCCCCATTTTTTTCAAAACAAAAAAAAACTATGATCTTTTGAAAATAAAAATTTAAATGTTGTTTCTTTAGCAACTTATGACCTTTAACAAATTTTATTTCACGCGCAATTTAATTTTACAAAAAATTAATCATAACATGAAATTATTTGATAATAATTTACAGTCAAAAAATTGCTTGTATACGTATACAGTACGTATGTATCAGGTATATACAATATTTACATATACTGTATTTCACCATTCCTTTTATAATAGTCTCCCTATTATATTTAAACTGCATTTTATGATGCATACATTATAATTACTAAGCCATGGTTATATCGCATTATGTTCAATGGTAGCATAAATCTTAGGGGGGCATCAAAAGATTAAAGAGATATTTTTTGTGACATGTATTTTATTTATAAAGATATTTCTTCTTTAGAAGCTACACCTTGTTTTGATTGAGTTTTATTTTCGCGTTTACTAACGTAAGTTTCTGATTTGGTCAATAGGCGACAAGATCAGACACAAAAACAGTAAGTATTAGGAATTGCTAGTTGATAAACGGACCTGAATAAAAGAGTTTGATTCGATTTTTCTGTTTTTTTGTGGAGTAGGAAAGGCTCAAACCTATTATCTGTTTTATGACTCATATCCCGCAGTTTCAAAATTTCAGGATTCTCCTTAATTGAAATAAAGTTTTCTCACGAGCCTCACTCCAAAATCTTTGATCACCTAATTTCCTTAGTAGTTTGACTTTTTGTTATACGCAGAAACATAATCTGAAACGAAACTTGGGTTGGTCAGTTTTTTTTTTTCTGTTAGTCCCCAGACGACGGAAAAAAAATAAATGACATAAATAGAATAATTGACAATTGGCACTTTAGAATAATTTTTTTTTTTTTTTGCAAAAATCAACTTCGCGTGGTCTTATGTATTTTTTATAATTTATAATTTATTCTCAATCAATATATTTTTAGTATAAACATAATATACGTGAAGGTCTGCGCATAAAGATATCGACAGATTGGATTTTTTAGTCATATATAGAATAAGCTATTACGCGAAGGTTTGCTCTTCGGTGACGTTGGAAAAGTAACAAACGAAGCAATTGTCACAATCAATAAAAAAGCTTGTTTTATATCTGCGCAAAATATAAAATAAATAAAATAGCTATATTAAGCTAGTTATTAGGCCCAAAAATCAGATAAATAAATTTGAATGTTAATAATCAATATCGCCTTACAGTAGCTTAGTTAATAAAAAACCACGGTTAGCACAATATAAATATTTTTTTAAAAAAAATTAGCATAACAAATCGCATTTTAAACACCAAAAAAGGTTTCATTGAGTAATATTACTATATTACTATATAAATCATCCATATCTAAACCCAATATAAATACTAATTCTACAATAATAAGCAAAACTTTAAAAATTTTCGATTCATTACATCCCGAGAATTTTGTTGTCTATGCTTGGAATGATTGGATATTCGAATAACGTGTAATCATAAGCAAATGGGTTTATAAATTAGGCTTTAAAACTTCATCGCCAGCAAGAAGTATTTGAATCACTGGAATTCATATTTTTTTCATTTGGGACCCCGCACAGCAAAACGGTGTAATGAGCCAACCAATCAGATTTTGAGATTTTAGGTCAATGATTTGCTT